ATAAAACATTGATATAAGAAATTAAGGAACATCTAAATAATGCCAGACTTGGTACCAGTTCCTTTATATATATTTCCTCATTGACTCTTCAGAGCCATTTTGTGTGGTAGTTACTACCCCCAGGCTCTGAAAGAGTCTGATTTATCTAAGCCATATTATAAAATAATTCATAGCAGCTTTATTTGGAATAGCCCCAAATTGGAAATAACACAAATATCTTTCAACCAGCACCTGGGTAAGCAAACCATGGTACATCTCCACTATGAATTATTACTCAGAAATAAAAATGACCAAACTAATGACATACGAAACAACCTAGATGAATCTCCAGGGAATTATTCTGAGTGGAAAAAAAGCCACCCCAAATGGTTACTTACTGTATGATTCCATTTATATAACATTTTTTGAAGAGATAAAATTGTAGAGATGGAGAACAGATTAGTGGTTGCTTGCAGCTAGGGATGGCGGGGGGTGGTTAGTGGAGAGGAATGGGTGTAACCATAAAGTGGAAGCAATTATAAAGGGACTGTCAGAGACAGACCCCAAGATTTGACTTTTACTGCCTACCTGCTTGCACTCACCAACCTTTGTCCCATATTTTCCCTTAAGCTCTTCTTTCCAGCTTATCTTTTTAATTCAGGCAAAATATCCCAAAGGGTGTAACATCCCCATGGTAGGAACAGAAACTAACCCTTAAGCAGTAACAACTGCCTGGACAAAGAGCTGTAGCTAGCCCAGATCACCCATACCAGTTCTGAACTCAACTCCTGACTCATGTCTGTGCAAATGGACCATGGATGACCAACTGTTATCTTTACATCATTATAATACTAAAATCTTTGGGCACCTGGATGGCTCGATCGATTAATTCAGCTCAGGTCATGATCTCATGGTTCATGAGTTTGAGCCCCATATCAGGCTCTGTGCTAACAGCTCAGAGCCTGGAGTCTGCTTCGGACTCTGTATCTCCCTCTCTCTCTGTCCCTCCCCAACTCGCACTCTGTGTCTCTCTCAAAAAATAAACATTATAATACTAAAATCTCCACTCAAGGAGGTACAAGCCTCATTTACATAATATACAATGCATGTATCCTTAAGGTGTATGCATGACCTTATGCCCACCTCTACATGTGATGACAAGGTCCCCCTTACCTGAATATTCATCCTAACCCCAAATAAAAGGAATCCTTTATCTTTGCTCAGGGAGTCACAGCTTTGGGAAGTTATTAAGTTATTACCCGTGATCTTCTTAGTTGCTGCAAATACAGTTTACTTTGGGAGACCACTCTACCTGGTGTATTCTCTGTGATTCATTCAGGATCAAACTCACTTTAGTTCAGTTACAGGATCTTAGTGCTCATCGAATATTTCTAGATATTGATTGTGGTACACCTGCATGATAAAACTGCATAGGCCTGCATACATATACAAATGAGTGCTTATAAAAACTGGTGAAATCTGAATAAACTCTGTGGATTCTATCATTATCAATTTCCTGGTTTTGATATTGTATTATGGTTATGCAGGGAGATACCACTGGGGAAAACTGAGTGAAGTGTGCATGAGATCTCTCTGTACTGTTTTTGCAACTTTGTATGAATCTATAGTTATTTCCAAATAAAAAATGTATCCAGGCTTCTATACCACAACAGTCAACAGTATGCCATCAAAAGATCCCAGTCTCTGAAAGAGTATGGGAGTCATATCAGAGCTGCCCTGCAGAGATGAAACCCACTGCTTGCCTTTTTCCTTGATTTAACATTTCCTGAGAGTCAACTGGGAATTTGGCCTTGTGTTGAAAGCTAAGTGATAGGTGATGCATCATTTAGGATTCCTTCCCAACTCAGCTCCCAAACTAGTGCCAATAAAAAGGCCTAATATGATAAGAACATTCTACTACGAGTCAAAAGAATTCTGTTCTCATGGAACCACTTACTAGTTTTTTTAGTTTGGACCAATCCATTTCCTTGTGGTGCACTGACTTCTTAACCTGCAAAATTCAGGAAAATGAAATACATATAAATATATTTTAAACTTAACCTGGGCCCTGTGGGTGGGTTCAAGGATATGTTAGATCACCTTTTCCAAAGGAGAATCACCGAGGACAAAGCCCACAAACACAAAAGGAGTTGGTTATTCAGGTTTATTTTAGTCTGGCTGGACGGCCCCTCCCGAGCACCCAGAGAGTCCTCGGAAGAGCGCACCATCGAGCCATAGCTCAGGGTTTATATAGGGAGAGGGGGCGAAGCCGGTGTACAGAAGAGAGAATTTTGCGGCTGGGGGGGCGGGGGGTGGCTTAACAGTTGCTTGGAGAACGTGTTTGACCGTTCTAATCACAATGTCCATTAAAGATTTACATCTCAGGGGCTTGCTGCAGCCAGGAGGAGCTAGGTTGCTCAACCCCTGACCTTTCACCCGAATAGAGTTTGAGATCAAACAATGGTTGGTATGTCCTCATTTGCAAGCCCCTCACCTTTTGGCTTAAGGGAATTTTACAGATATTTGGAAACTACCTGAAATTATACGCAGAGGTACAAAAATTCCAGAAGAAATATTGTAACTTTTCAGATTCTGAACCCATACAGCTCAGAAATAACTGAATCTAATTTTTGGATTTGATGCCTAAGGTCCCTTCCATTCTAACATTCCACAATTTTAGCAGATCTCCAAGATCTCTCCATTTCTAATATTCCATGATTCCAACAGGAATCCAAGCAATGGACTAGAGATCTAACATTCTGTGATTCCATGGACCCCAAGAGTTCATTCCCTTTCCTGAGAGTTCAACGATTCAATTTTTCAACATGGAACTCTAGGCTCTCTATGATTTAACCTCCACATGATCTTCCAACTTCAGTTTTTATCCCTTTCCCAGACCCATGCCACTCTCGTGTAGTCTAAAGTTTCCACAAAGTTTTGCTCCCATTCTCTCTGTGCCTGGGCACTGGCAATGCCTTCTACCTGGAATGGCCCTAAATCCACCCTTTTTCTTCTTGAGTCTCAGTTTAAAATTCTCCTCCCCCGTAAAGCCTTCCATGACCCGTCATCCTTGCAGCAGAGTTTGATGTTCTCCCTCAACCCTGGATACTGACTGCCTGATACCACCCAGGGAAAAGGACTGTTGGGTCACTCAGGGCAATGAATCAAAATGCCACAGGAGCAAGGCAGAAGTAAAGGTTTGAAGCTAATAGGCGTAACAAACTCTAGCCCTCTGTCTTCCCACCTCTGGAAATAAAGACAAATATCAGCTTGAAAGTAAACAACATGAGAGCAATAGTAAATGTTTCTGTTTCAGAGACAAAAAGGAGTGGTAGAGGTTGAGGCCATCAGGGACAGCACGGAGCATCTTTGTCTGAAAGGAGAATGCTACTGGGGCCAGGTAATTGTTGATGGCAGGAACGAGCGTGGGACCAATGTGATCAGCTTACCCACTTTCACAAGAAAAGCCAGAAATCAGATATGCATGCAAAATCTCCCAATTTGAAATGTCAATAACTGAAAAATATTCAAGACCCACTACAGGGCTTTCAAGGTTTTCAGACTGTGAAACCTGTTCTGAGAGGATCCACTGCTACCCAAGACAGCACATCCTGTGGGGGACGCAAAGTTTCTATCACGGCTGCTGGTGTATTGCAAATTACAGTAAACAGGCCCACTCCTGCACAAAGCTCATATGAACCCTTTCACATGGGCTTCCGTCTCCGGGCCTTAGTTTCCCTATCCGTAAAATGGCAATACAAAACATAATTGTGAGTCAGCCATCAAATAGAATATATCACTGAAAGGCTGTCAGAGCTAGATGCTTTTATCTGCATCATCTCGCTGAATTCTCATAATTTCTGAGGTAAATTCTATTACCTCCACATTTCACAGATGAAAAAACTAGCTCAGAGATAGCAATTTACCTAATGAAGACAGTAACAAACACTTAAAAAGGCCTTTCTTTCCAAGGGCTTTAATGATTTGATCCTCTCAACAAATCTGATGTAAAGTAAAGAAACCCTTAAATGGGGGACTCCACCAAGACAGCCTCAACGCAAACCATACACGTCACGTAAATTCTTCTGGTAGCCACATTTAAAAAGTAAAATGACACAGGTTAATTTTAATAATGCCTTTTATTTGACCCAACATACGCAAAATATTATCAACCTAACATGTTATCAACAAAAAAAATACTGAGATATTTTACCATTTTGGGGGGTACTAAATCTTGAGTGTATTTTACGTTACAGCACATCCCAATTCCGACTCGCCACATTTCAAGGGCTCAGTAAGCCCCTGCGACTAATGGCCACCATACGGGGCAAAGCATTTACAGTCTATTTACTAATCTTAATGTTAAAACAGAACCCACGGAGACACTTGTTGCTTGGTTTCAAAGGACGCGCAAAAAATAATAATGGCACAGTTGTCGCGGATAACTTTTGTGCCACGGCAGGGGCGAGTCCTACTATGGGTGTTGGGGATCTTCACGCCTTGTATTTTGTCATCCTGTCAATAAGGCAAGTGCCACTGCCCTCCTCTTTTGACGGAGAGAGTACTTCCCCGGGTCGAGGCCTCCCCTAATGCCCGATCTCCGTCCCGTCTTCTGGCTCCCGCCCCCGGCCAGGCGCCAGGCCAGGGAAACCGTGGCTCGCCCTCATCCCAGTCAGGGTGAAGTAAGGAGGCGCGTAATCAGCGATAGGTGCAGATCACCTGCGGGCGGGAGCGGATAAAGACCCCTCGGAGCTCCTCCTCCCGCTCCTCTTCCTCCCCCTCCTCCTCGGACTCTGGCTCCGACTCCAGTAACTGGTGCTGGGAGGCGCCATCGTGAAGAGAAGCCCAGTGCACGCTTAGCGGGGACCGCTGCCGCCTTCCGGTAACATCCACCTCCTGACGCGACTCGCTAACACAAGGAGGCGCCGCTTCCGGGAGCTGGGACTCCGCTTCCGGGCTCTCTCGCGCCGAGCTCATCATAGAAGCTAGTGGAGACTTCCGCCTCCGGCCGCTTCGGGCCCTTTTGGGCGCCGGTGAGGTGGGAGCGCTGTCGACCCGCCCCCGTCCGCCTTGCTGGAAGTCTTGCGGGCTCTGCCCTGACGCACGAAACGTCTCTCTCCTCAGCTAGCCCCCGCGCAGACGCAGTGGTGAGCCCACGCCTGCGGGACAAAGAGTGACGTGCGGAGCTAGTAGTCATGGCCGCGACGGAGCCGAGCTTGGTGGCCGCTGGGGTTTTCGCGTCGCCGCCTGAGAAAGAGGAAGGAGCCGGCCGGAGCTCAGGTCCGGAGGATAACTCTGCGGGCTCCTCGTCGACTCCTAAGGCCCCACCGTCTGCCCCTGACCCCTCCAGCTCCAGTGCCGCGGTCTCTGAAACGATTCCTACGCCCCCCGCGGCGGCCTCCGCTGCCCTGGAGCTGCCTCTCAGGCCTGCAGCCTTGGGCTCCCCGCCGCTTGCCGAAGCCGCTCCACGCTCCCCTCCACACCCTGGCGGCTCCCGACCCGGCCCCGAGACGTTTCGCCAGCGTTTCCGGCAGTTCCGCTACCAGGACGCCGCAGGCCCGCGAGAGGCGTTCCGGCAGCTGCGGGAGCTCTCGCGCCAATGGCTGCGACCCGACATCCGCACGAAGGAGCAGATCGTGGAGATGCTGGTGCAGGAGCAGCTGCTCGCCATCCTGCCCGAAGCGGCGCGGGCTCGGCGGCTTCGCCGCCGCACTGATGTGCGCATCACGGGCTGAGCAGCAGCCGGGCTCAGTCATTCTCTGGCCACGATCAAGTCCGGGGGCTGAACCTGGGTCTCCATTACGCGTTCCTGAGAAATGACTTTTTGGCAGCTCCAGTCGTCTGATAATGTCCCTTTTGTTCGTCCTTTACTGTTTGTTTTCCCGAGCCTGTTTCCTTCCGACCTCCTTTTTGGCATGTTGGGAGCCCATAAGAATAAAGCCTTTGTTTTCTGTTCACTTGGCATTTGCTGATTTTTGTGGGATCATGAACGTGTGAGCCAGGCCTGGGCTTCCTCATCTGGAAAATTTTTCTCCTCGCCCCACAGGACCCGACTTGGGATTCCTTTGTTTAGGTGGGAGTCTACGTAACGTAAAGAGGGTTTTAACATCTTGGGTTCCCATATTTGCCCCTCTCTCTCCGCTAGAATATGGATTTGTTTTCCTACCTAAAAAGGTAGTGTTCAGTGGTTGTGGCAGGCAAATAGCAATTCGGCCATCAACCTGCCCTTGGGCCACTGGCTTCCGAAAAGACCCAAGCCAGAGGGCTATTTCAGTTGTTTCAGTACAGGTCCTTTTGGAAAGCTTGCAAGCTTTGGTTTAAGTCTCCAAACTCATTCTTGCCATATTTTAGGCCCTAAGTGATTTAAGAGTTGGTGTGAACTAATGAGTTGTTACATTGCTGGAGCTACTCATTTTAGTGTCTCTCCAACTGCATCCCTTTATTGTTTTAATAAGAGCAATTGTTTAGAAAGAGAATGAATTTTTTAACATTGTAATTCACAAGCTCTGTTGTGAAATCTTAAAGCCTCTTCCTTAAGTCTTGTGCCCACCCAGGAAGAACTAATTGGGGTCCGTAGGCAGTTTGGATTGGCCTCAAAGGTCCCAATTGCAATGGGTGCCATCTCTTAATAAGAGGAAGGCCAGACTACCTCCTTCACTGCTGTCAAAAACTGAAATCTAATAAGCCTGCAGCTCACACCACAAAGCAAGAGCCAGACTGGGATAGAGGCTGGTGTGGGGCATTTTACTTTTGAAATTAAAGACACATATGAATTCAAAATTCTTTTGCATACTTTCTTGGAATTTAGGATCTTAAGCTTGAATTTGCCTACCTGCAGAAGATAAATCTGTTTACACTATAAAAGCAGACTTCCTTTAAAAGGTAAAGTTTAGGGGTGCCTGGGTGGCTCAGTTGGTTAAGCATCCGACTTCGGCTCAGGTCATGATCTCACGGTTTGTGGAGTTTGTGGGTTTGAGCCCTGCGTTGGGCTCTGTGCTGACAGCCAGCTCAGAGCCTGCAGCCTGCTTCAGATTCTGTCTCCCTCTCTCTCTGACCCTCCCTTGCTCACGCTCTCTCAGAAATAAATAAAACATTAAAAAAAATAAAAGGTAAAGTTTATAGAAAATTATGCATATTAAAAGTAGGTTACAGAACTTTATAGTAACATGATTGAAACATAGCAACAAAAACCTGTTTTATTTTTTCCAAATACAGATACAGAAGTTTGCATGTTTTGCAAATATTGCTTCAAAGCAACATTTCTATATACAGCGCCTCTGTTCTAATAGCGCGTAAACATAGATATGTATCCACAGTGCAATGTTGGCTCATCAAGGGTCCACCTTGCATAACACCATTTAAAGAAACAAAATGATTAGTCAAACCAGAACTGTTTTTGTCAAGGCAATTTTTTATAGGTGGATAGTTTTTCTCAAAAGAAAACTTAGGTAGTGTACATCTTTCTAAACGGTAACAGTAATCTTTTCAAATAACAGTTTCCAGTGCTCCAACTTCAGGTTCATTCAACTTGACCCAGGAATTGGGGATGGAGCCCCTCAACATGGCTTTAAGTTAAGAGAAGCACACTGAGGTTATGAGAACTTGGGAGTCATCCCTGCTTCCCTAAGGACAAAAGTCAAAATGAGTGAAATGAAATTATTTCCTTTACAAAATTTAAACAATAAACCCAATAACGGCCACTTGGCAAAATTAGGGTAATTCAGTTTCTGCTTCCATCTTTGAGAAAGACGTGAGATTGACTCCCTTAAAGTTGTAGCTTCCCCAGATGTGATGCTCAAATGTATTTTCAGAAAGGAAAAATCAGTAATCTAATAATACAACAGTCATCATACCTCATAGTTGTGGCTACAGTAAATCTTCCTGTTTCATCCCTTTTCAGACACATAATTCTTACAATGTGGATGTCTGATAAATTATGCAAAATATAGATGTCATGCACACTCCTTGAACGTTTCTTCCCACACCAGAAATGCCAACGTTAGCAATGGAAAACAGCCTCTTGTAGAGGAATCACATCAGCTTTACTACGGATGTCACAGCCACATGTATTCCCTCTGATGGAGAAGCTACAGCAGGTCAACTGGTCCTAAATTCATTTTATATAAAATGGTGAAGAAATCACTGGACAGAGCATTCCCTGAAACAGATTTTGGTACAGAGGCCTTCAAGACCACAATGACCTATGTGCCTTAAAGGCCTAATCATTCCAAAGGTCACTAGAGACACTGTCATTTCTATCGATATATTGGCTACTTCACGTTTACATAGTAAATATTTGCAGCATATACTATTACAGATTCATAAACCCATAATTAACTTGTGAGTGTTAATGGACAACTGTGCTTTGATTTTTGCCTTTCGTGATAAGTAAACTAAATGGTGAAACGGGTCACTCCTCAAAGCATGGAACGTTTTCTTTAACTTTGTCTAGCAAGGAAAAACAAAACAATATAGCAATTACACGTGGAACCGTAACCTGCAAAAGTAACAAATATTGTCTCAAAAGGTACACACACTGTACCTGGACCTTTAAGCAGCATAATCACCTTGACCTCACAAAAAAAATACAAACAGGAAATCTAAAGTGTTAAGTATATTAAAACAATTCTGAAAATGTCAACTACTGAACATACACCCTTCTGGGAAGGAGAAAAGCGGCACATGTAGAATCTGAAGTTTGTTTACAACAATATAAAATAAAGTAATTCTCCAAACCACATCCTTTGTAACAAATCTTTACAGTGAAAGTGTTCAAAATTTTGGGAAACATTTTTTTAGACATTAAATAAGACTGGGAAGCTGTCAATATTAAGAAGTGGGTAGAAAACACTGTCCTTTGGGTTCCAGACCCTGCCTGCTTCAGTTTGGAGTTCCTCATAGATTATTACAGTGAGATTCTAGTTCCTCCACAGGCTGTATGGGCTCTGCTACAAAAGACACAACCTGGCCCACTCTGGGGTAAAAGCATATAAAACTTGTCCCCGGTACCATGAAGTCATGCAAGACATGTGGTGAGAAAAGTGAAGAAGAGTCCTAAGGAGAAGCCAGGGCAGCCAAGGCCTCCACTCCCTCCCAACCTCCAAAGAATGTGAAGTCAGGACATTCTCACGAAGCTGGAACAATGTAAATGATGCCTGCTGTCTAAATCCATACCAGGTAGAAACCAGAAGGTTTGGCATGTGCCTCACCCTGACAAAAAAAAGTCAATTAAATAAGCTGCAAGTTGAATTTACAACTGTTTCCGACTAAACTTTTTTGGCTCTCATTCCATTTACCAGTGGCACAATTTCAAGTGAAGTTTGTGCAAAAAGACTCACTCTCCACTCAACGATGTGCACAGAAGGGAATCCCAAGAGTCTATTTGCCACCTTCTTGGTAGGCTTCAAGATCAGAGTGCCCTGCCCTCCAGCAGCCAAAATGGCCCCTTTGTCCAATGTCCATCACACCCCTGCCCAGATCCCTGAAGTCAGTCAGTGTCACGTGCATTCGGCATGCTAGGTTTATTTATTTAAATACGCAAAGCTCCTCCTGCAGGTGCCCCAGGACTGTGCCCCTACTAGTTCTGGGTGCCCAGTTTTATGTTGAGCAGCAGAGCGCGATCTGCTGCACCTTGCCCAGGTCCATCAGCAGCTGTTTGATGCAATGCTTGAGCTGCGGAAGCCTCGCCAGCGGCTCTGGGGGCTCCAGTTCCCCAGTGTAGTCCAGCCAGCTCTCCAACACTGCAGACAGAAGAGAGAGAAGATCCAGTGAGCTCCCAACACTTCATCTGTGAGAACAAGAATTTCAACACCCTCTCCCATCTACCACTCATAGGGGGCAAGGAGGGAAGGCCACTCAGGTGACACTGACTGTACACCCTCTCTACAAAGTATCCTCTAGGATAAAGTTCAAATGCTTCAGAGAAGCACAGTCTAATAGAACCTTCTGCAGTGGAAATGGTCGATGTCTATGTTGTCTATACAGTAGCCACTAGCCACATGTAGCTAACTGAGCCCTTAAAACCTGGCTGGTACAACTGAGGGACTAAATTCAAATTTTATTCAATTTTAACTAATTAGCCACTTACAGCTAGTAACTACTCTATCAGTGCAGCTCTGGAGTCTAGAAGGCTTTAAAGAACCCATCTTTCTCAATGTTATTACTCCCCAATCTTTATAAGGATTTCCCTTGTTGAATATTAGAGAGCCTAGTGTTTTAGCCTCCTATTAAGAAAAATAAGAACCTAGGAACGCCTGGGTGGCTCAATCGGTTAAGCTTCCTACTCTTGGTTTTGGCTCAGGTCATGATCTTGAGGTTTGAGAGATCAAGCCCTGTGTCAGGCTCTGCACTAGACAACATAGAGCCTGCTTGGGATCCTCTCCCCCCGCCCCCCCGCCCCGTTCCTCCCCTGTTTGTGTGCACTAGCACATGCACTCTCTCTCTACGTAAACTTTAATTTCAAACTTTAATTTCAAAAAAGAAAAATGAGGATCTAAAGGGACTTGAAAAGGTCTGTTTTTATCACTATAAACTCTAATTTATTTCATATTCTTATCATCAGTAGCAAAGAATATTCTCTAAGTTTTTTAACGTAAGATGTCTAAGTACTAACAATCTTGATTATATTGGTTCAATATTTAAAAATCTGCCATGCCTCTGAGAGAAGAGATTTCTCTATAGAAGATGTTTCTTCTTCCCCAAGCCACTTCCTGAAGCTTAGGCATTTGGGGGAGAGGCCACATTGGAACCCTGAATCTTTGACAAGAAGCCAGCCCTTCCCGGGAGGCCCTTTGCTCCCCCAAATGCCTGCCTGCAGCCTTTCTAGTTCATAAACCAACCTGTACTGAGCACTTTCTGGACCCTTGAGCAGAAAGTACAGAAAGAGGAAGACTCACCCAGTGCCTGTTCCTCATGTAGCTTATAGCCTCATACATAATCCTCTTCCCTCCTCAGATCT